AGATAAGAAATGTGTTTTTAGGTAACTAAACAGCTAAATGTAAAAGTTCCCTTTGCTAAAGGTGCAAGAGAGAAAGAATGATGAGAGATTAAGCATTCTCTGCCGTATTAGACTACTTTGGTTCATGATTAGAAAAGGTATCTTAGAAGAGATTAAAACTGAGCCTAAATATGAAAGACAATAAGGATTCATAGCCAAAAAGCTATGGGAAGGATATCCTATGAAGAGGAAAGGGCAAAGCAATTGTGCAGAATTGGCAGGATAGAGACCATTCTACATAATGACCAATTCTTCACCAGATACTATGTCATTTCCCTTTTCTGAGCATTGTGGAAGACTATTCCTACCAGCCTTTTTTGTAATTGGTTGAGGTCTGTGTCTGAGTTCTGGTCAATGGTCCTTGTTCCATACTTAGACCTTAGCAGTCCCCTCCCCCCATCCTTTTACATGGCAATCATGAATGCCATGCATTAAACATGATGATGTCCTAAAACGGAAGGACACTGGGTCTTTGAGTCACTTCTTAGGGGACGGTATATCAGATTCTGATGTGAAAGAATTATAATTTTATCAGAACCGATACTTTGAGGTAGTTTTTACTTCAGCATACACTGTCTTGTTTTGGGTAATATAAGTGTGTTCGGAGAATACATAAAAATCAAGTATGACTTGAACACAGTAAGCAAAGTATAAAGTGGGGGTGCTATGAGATGAAATTGGAGCAAAAGGCAAGCATGAAAGCAAAGAGACTAGATAATGAGGTATTACCATAATCTGGTGTAGGGATGATGATCCCAGTAAAGTGAAGGCAATTGACATGGAGAGAAGCAAACTACTCTAAATATATTTTGGAGCAAGCAACATTTTTATCCAAAAGAAGATAAAAGAAAGTTTGGTTGACAAAGAGGTAGGAAATCTGTATCCAAACACATTTGCATCTCCTCTATTTGTAGCATCAAGAGTTATCTACAGACCCCTTAGAGTCAAAGGCATAAGGTTTTAAAATCACTGGGATCAATGACATGAAAATACTTTCATTTGTAACATCCTGTAATTTTACTAGTTTCATATGTACATGGGATATGGCCTGGCCTACTTTAAGTCTGGTCTTCTGGATATTAAATATTACTTGGGGAGGATGAAAAAATTTAATTACTGAACTGAACTTCACAAACTATTGAGTAACACCAATTAGATACCTCATTAAGAACACATTTTAAAGATCTTTCTTTTTCCTAATGAATACATGTTCCTAACAGAAAAATCCCAAAACAAAACCAAAAGTCAATCATGGTTTCACAACTCCAAAATAAATGATTGAGATTCTGGTTTCATCCAGGTGAAAATGGAAGTCCTAAGGATGGCCGTGGAGTTGGGGATAGAATGGACTGGGTGCAGTGGAGCAGGGCTTGCAGTCAGAAGGAAGAGCATGTAGAGTGGAGGTAGGGTCTACTTGAATCTCCAAGGTCTCTGATCCAGGTTTAAGCTCAGCCATGGCCTCAGGCTCTGGATACTCCTCTCAGGCCCCAAATACTTCTCC